CGATGCCCATCGCTTTTCTGAACTCTGTGCCGGGGAGGAGTCCCCTCTCCAGCAAGTATCTTTTCATGTGGTCCGCGCAGGGGACCTTGATGGCTTCACGATTGAAGCGGTTGATGAATTCTCTCAAGGTTTCATCATGTCTCTGGATGATAGCCTCGAGCGCCGCTTCGGTCTTTGGATGTCGCCTCGATACGGTGAACGAGCTTATGAATTGGTTTTTCAAGTTTCTCCACGAGGTAATTGACCCCGGGGCGAGACCCTTATACCAATCCATTGCTTCTTTCCTGAGGGTCGTGGGGAACAACCGACATTTGATGGGTCCCCCAATGTTATGGTAGTGCATCATAGCTTCGAACCCGTCTATATGGTTGACTGGGTCGGCAACTCCGTCGTATTCCTTTAGGTGAGGGGGCTTCACCATGCCCGGGGGAATTGGAGCCTCCATGATGGCTTGTGACAAGGGACCGCGTGGGTCGTCCTCATCACTTCGTTCTGGGGAAAGGGACGGGGACCTGAGGTATTGTCGGGCACGACGGTCCTGATTGTGCTGGATGTCCCTCGAGCGGGGTGCTCGTTGGTCCGCCCTCCCGTGCTTATCTCCAGGGTGTCTTCTTTCTTTCCGTACGGGGCTGTGGTTGCGCCCTCCGGCTTCAATGATGGGTTGCCTCTCCAAGGGGGGTCGTCTCCCCGATTGTCGGGGCGATGGGCTTCGAGAGATGTCTCTGTATTGTCTCCGCGGGGGAGACGGGAGACGCACCTCTGTTACTCGAGGAGGCGGGGTCTGAGGCCTCCTGTGTCTCCTCGGGGGTCTTCTGTCGTCCTCTAGTGCCCTCAATATTTCCCCATGGGCAAAGATGAGGTAGTTGGTTTGATTGATTGCCGCGAACAGTGCTCTGGTCGTGGCATCTACCCCAGCGGGGACAAGGACCTCCTGAAATTGGGCAGCTAAATAGTTTGGGGGAGCCGTATTGTCTTCTTCGAGTGGAGGGGGGACTGAAGAAGATGATGCCGTAGCTCCGTCCCGGTTTCCTGAGGGCCCGGGGATGACGCCCCCGGGGAGTGTATTATGGCCGACGTTGCTGACGTTGTCGGGGATTCCGTTCTTGTCCGCGAGGTTGTTGTTGGCGTCGACGACGCAGACATTCTGGTCTTCCCGAGTCTGGTCAGCCATGACGGTGGAAGATGGTTTTTAGCTTTGGTCTTTGAGAGTTTGTAAGACGGGGAAGCTAGTTTCCCACAGACGGCGCCACTGATCTTACCTGATCAGACTTGGACCGTCACGGCTGGCTCGAACTGGATTTGAGAGAGACGGGAGGGGTACCTGCAAGACACTCCGATGCTAAAATGAGAGATGAAATGGGCAGGAAAAAAGTGTATAGGTGTGTAATAGATGAATACCTGACCCTCTTGGAATAAAGGGTATTTATAGCCCCCAACACTGGGCCAAGGTCCCCTCATTGGACTGACCAGAACCGGCCCAATCAAGGAATTGCCAGGTTCTACATGTGTAGTGGGGCCCCGCACGTGGTCCCCTTCCTGGTGGTGCTTTGCGAAGAATAAGGAGGGACGAAGACGCGGTATTTCCGGAGCTTAGAGGATTCTATAACGGTTAGAGTGGACGGAATTTGTCCTACGGGGAGGGTGCTCGAGCTGGACTCGAGCTGGAGTTCCCTTGGTCGGGGACATTGCTTGTCGCGGGCGATGGCGGGCATAGCAGCTGTAGTCTGTGGTCGGGCATGTTCGGAGATGGTCCGTTTTTTGAGCATTCTTCGAGGAGTTGCTTGGATTTGGGCCTTTATCTGCACTTTGGGGCAAGGTGGGTCCAGTCCAGAACATTTTGTAATAGGGGAAAACCCAAATCCGTATCCAAATCTAGTCAAAGAGGGTTTTCTTCGTCAACTTCATGGCAGGTTTGGATGGATACCCGTGGATATGGATTTTATTACCATGCCTAATCTTCTGCAGGACAAAGATGTAAAATTTACAGATTTTGCTGACGCCGAGTTTGGTAAAAAGGCAAAAAAATCTATTGCTAGGTATTGTGTTATAGTTCTGATTCTTCATTTATTGTTGCTTGTGGCTTGTCAAATGTTGTGAAAATAATTCATCTTATAGTTAATGTAATATTTGTGCAAACATAAGAAATTTAAGTAACTGAATATGAAGATACTCACGATTGAGATGAGTGAGAGCCACCGTGAATATAATGCGCGTCTGTGAAGAATCTGTGAGATTCCAAAACTTGAATTCCAAGTGTTTTATTCAAATTCAGTGTTAAACTATACAATCAAAGAGAAGAACAAACAACAAACAACAAATATGTTTGAATATATCCCACTTATATCAGCATATTTTTATTCCCTGTGTAGTTAAACAACAAACAAAATCATATTCATTTATTAATATAAAGAAAGAAAGAGAAGAACTTTGATGATGGTGACATAATTGATTTAAATTTGATTCATACATACCTAAATTAAATGTGCTATTAGAAGGACACAAACATAGATAGGTTTGAAAAAAGAACCTTATACATATATTAGGATCTAAAAGAGAAAACAACCACAACTTTTTATATCAACCCATAACTTACTGTCATAAACTAATAGAGAAATCAACAAAATAAAATATGTTTTGGCAAAAAGACAGGCCAAAGAGGTTGATGAATATGATAGTTGTTGATCATCATGGAAGTTGTTACATGAAATGCATACAGAGCAGACCGTTCAATTACAATTAGTTTCACTGGTTGCATATTGTATATGGATGGAAAAGGCGCACTAAAACACATCCAAATAAGACCAACAATTACCTCAGTCGTCACAGAATATTCTGAGATGTCCACAATCTTAGTTCTGAGAGTGTCCACTAACCACTTAGTATGTGAATTTCATGCCAAAAAAATAAAATAAACAAATAAGATCAGTAAAAATGAAAGAACACACATGTCGAAATCCCAGCAAACAAAAATAAGAAAGCAAGTACCTCAACACAGTTATTCCATCAACGTAACCACAATACATTAAGGTCATTCCATCTTGTGCCATACATGTTAAGAAAAAAATATGTAACATCTTGTGACATAATTGTCTTCTTTCTTTTCTTTTCTTTTCATATAATTTATTGTCATTTGTGTTAATATCAATTTTGTTTATCAAGATTGGTAGAAATTCATCATAAATTTTGATGGATTTCCAACCGAGCTGAAGTAAAAATATGAAAATCAACCATATTTTGCGTGAATGAAATAAGAGTCTCGATTGATTTTCAATTTTTATAAAGAGATTAATTGTTATATATTGATTGTGTAAAATATTTTTACACATGTATCCAATGAAATCACATTATAGTACCATTTTTATAAGTATATTCTTAAAATATAGTCTTAAATGTCTATATATCATGACTTGATTGAATACATGTGTAAAATACTTTTACACTCTCGGTGCAAAATTATTATTCTCTTTTATAAATTATTTAACTTTTTATTTTATTTTAGAATGTCTTTTTAACAAACTCTAAAAAATTCTTTTTAAAATTTTTAGAACATACATCCCTATGAATATCTCTCTTATGAATGTCAGTGTTAGAGGAGAGAATTTCCTCCAATTAGTGTTCATAATTTCTTTTTTGTATTGCCTTCTTTTCTAGCAATAAATTGATAATATTTTTGCATTAAAATAAAATAATCTTTATTTTTTTTAAAGTTTAACATTTTTTAAATAAATTTATTAGTTTTTTTTGGAACAAATAAATTTAGTTATACCAAAAACAAGAAGATATACGACAATTACAAGGATCCAATTCAACAATTAAATCACGAAACACAAATATTATCTAACATAACATTAAAAACTAAAAACATAAAAAAAAATATACATATAAAAGAAAAAAAATTACATGGATACAAAATATTTGAGTATATTTCTAAAATTATATTTGTTTATTTTAAAAATAAATTTTCACCCAAAAATATTTAAATGAAACGATAAGATGGTTTTGAATACCCGATTATAAATTAAGAAAAAATGTTCACATTTAAATTTATTGTTTTGTTCTAACTCTAGAGAAGTAAAGTATTATTAAATTTATTTAAGAGTATTTGAAGGAGATAATTGAGCCTCTTCTTTTAGTTTAATTAAAAATTCTGGATTTGAATACATTCTTAAACACGCAAAAGTCTTAAATTTTTTAGGAAGAGTTTATCATCTATTACGATCATACAATAGTCGAGAGATTTAAGTTTTATTTTTTAATATATAAATACATAGTTTTGGATAAAATATTATATATATATATATATATATATATATATATATATATATATATATATATATATATATATATATATATATATATATATATATATATATATATATATATATATATATATATATATATATATATATATATATATATATATATATATATATATATATATATATATATATATATATATATATATATATATATATATATATATATATATATATATATATATATATATATATATATATATATATATATAGGCGGATCCACGTTTAGGCTAGGTCTGGCTATAGCCACACCAGATTTTTTTTTCTAATATTAATATATATTTAATTAATTAATTAATTTTAATATTTAATATTATATAATTCTTCAACTCACTTTTATCTCTTAATTTTCTCTCTCTTTTATTTCTTTCTCTCTCACACAGTAAATCCTTTCTCTTCTTCTCAAACCCCACCAACTTCCATATTTGTCTCTTTCTCTCATTAATCCAATAACCCCACCATTTTGCATTGTTTATGGGTGATTGAAAATCAAAGGTAAACTAACTACTTCAAAATTTTCTTATTCTTTTGTTCTATTTGAGTTGAACCCTTAAAACCCCAATTTGTTTTAAAAAAATAAATTTTCAATTTCTCATAAATATTTTCTTTACAATAAATTGTTCTTATTATTTTTTTTATAGAGTGAATAGCTAATTTTAATGGTTTCATTGTTCTCTTTATAGGATGAAGAAATTTTTTCCTGTGCTTTCTAGAGACAAAGCTACTTCTTCGGTAAATCTAGAAGCATCGGAAACTCAACATCCAAGTGAGAGTATTAAAGTTGTCGATTATGAATTGTTGGAAACCGATCCAGGAATTAGGCCTCCAATTTCAAGCTATCATCCTGACATCCAAAATGAGGTAAGGAAAGCTTATTTAAAAATAGGTCGTCATAAACCTCCTTACAATTTTGTTTACCCTTGGTCTGTTCAAGGTAATCAAAGACGTAGATTTTGTAAAAATTGGTTTGATTTGTATGATTGGATTGATTATAGTGAATCTAAGGACCTGGCATTTTGCTTGCCATGTTTTTTGTTTAAGAATGTCTCTAAATATGGGGGAGATCACTTTGTGACAGAAGGGTTTGGTGATTGGAAGAATTCTCACAGATTGGCTAATCATGGAACTTCTTCAATTAGTCATATTGATTGTGTGCATATGAGTTACGCTCTCATGAACCCAAACCAAAGTATTAAGGCTGCATTTGTTAATCAAACTAAACAAATGAATTCTGAATATCGTGTTCGTGTAAACACATCTCTTATAGCTACTAAGTTTCTTTTGAGGTGTGGCATGCCATTTAGAGGGAGTGACGAGTCCTTTAACTCTTTATTTAAGGGGCCATTTCTTGAGTTGGTGGACACTCTAAAGGAAATTAACCCAGAGATAACTAAGGTAATAAATTATGCTCCAGGAAATAACTTTATGACTGCCCTTAAGATTCAAAAGGATCTTGCTGCTGCTTGTGCATGTGAAATAACTAAACAAATTGTATGTGATATTGCGGATGATGTGTTTTGTGTTTTGATTGATGAATCCGGTGACGTTGCTGGTAAAGAACAAATGGTTGTTGTTATTCACTATGTTAATAGTGATGGTTTGGTAAAAGAAAGGTTTCTTGGGATTGTTAGTGTTAAAGAAACAAGTGCTAAGTCACTTAAGGAGGCACTTGAGAAGTTGTTGTCTATTAATGGCTTGAGTTTATCTAGCATAAGGGGGGCAAGGATATGATGGAGCTAGCAATATGCGAGGTAAGTTTGGTGGTTTGAGAACTTTAATTCAAAATGAAAATCCATCAGCTTATTATGTGCATTGTTTTGCCCATCAACTTCAATTAGCACTTGTTGCATGTGCTAAGACTCACAAAGATGTTAGTGGTTTTTTCGGTAAGGTCAATATGCTTGTTAATTTCATACGGTCTTCTAACAAGAGACAAGAATTGCTTCGGGAAAAACAAGTATCTCAATTTGCTAAATTGATTGAAGAGGGTGAGATAGAGACTGGTAGTGGATTAAATCAAGAATCGTCTATTGCTAGAGCGGGTGACACTCGTTGGGGTTCCCACTTTAGGACTCTCACTAGTTTGATGACTTTATATGGTGCCATTATTGAGGTACTTGAAGAAGTCGGGAAAGATACGTCATTTGAAAAATATGGTGAAACTATGCTTTTGCTAGATGTGCTTCAGTCCTTTGATTTTATTTTCATGTTATACATGATGGTTGAGATTTTAGGATTTACAAATGATTTAAGTGTAGTGCTACAAAAGCGTGATCAAGATCTTTTGAATGTTGTATCACTTGTCAAAGCCACCAAACAGGAATTACAAGAAATGAGAAATGATGGATGAGAAGAACTTATATCTAAGGTTATGGAAATTTGCAATAAGCATGATATTGATGTGCCTGATTTGGATGCAGCGTACGTGCAAGGGAAGAAACCTAGACGACATGCTATCACTTCTAGTGTTTCTAATTTGCATCATTATAAGCATGATTGTTTATGTAGTGTTTTAGATTTGCAGTTGCATGAGCTCAATGCTAGGTTTGATGAAGAGAATACTGAACTTTTACAATGTGTTTCATGTTTGAGTCCCTCATCATCATTTGAATCTTTTGATGTGAAAAAAATATTGAGGATGGTTGAACTTTATCCAAATGATTTTGTAGATGTGCCGGAAGTGGCGGTACGACATCAGCTTCAGAATTATGTTAGAAATGTTCGATGTGATCCAAAATTTGCAAATTTAAACGGACTTTCAGATCTTTGTGCAAAACTTGTGGAAACAAAAAAATGCAACACTTTTGATATAGTTTATAAGCTTCTGAAGTTGGCTTTAGTCTTGCCAGTAGCAACTGCGAGCGTGGAACGTGTTTTTTCAGCTATGAAATTTATGAAGAGTCAGCTATGTAACAAAATGGGCGATCAATGGTTAAATGATCGTCTTGTAACTTTTATAGAAAGAGATGTTCTTGGAACAATTAACAATGATGTTATTTTATCTCATTTTCAAGAAATTGATACTAGACGGTTTTCATTGTAAATACACTTCATCAAACAATATTATTTTTTATTTTCAATATATTTTAGTCGATAATTTCTTTTATGTTTAGCCACACCAATATATAAAGTCTGGATCCGCCCCTATATATATATATATATATATATATATATATATATATATATATATATATATATATATATATATATATATATATAATTAACTTTTCAACAAGTATTTGAAATTTTCAAAAATTTATAAGAAAAAAATCGTAGATTCGAATCTACATCTCTATATTTTGATGTTTTTATAGAAGTGTATGTTGATTATCTTAATGGAATCTATAAAACTTGTTTGTTTATATTTTTTTAAAAATATTTTTTATAATATAATGTAAATTAGTTTTAAAAAAATTTACATAAATTTTTTTTAATAAAAATTTTAAATGAAAATTTAATTTGAATAATTATTTTTAAAATTTTATTTAAATATTTTATTATAATTCTTTTTAGATATTAAAATTTTAAAAAAATATTTAATTTTAAAATTTCAAATAATTTTTCATAAAAAGTTATTTTTTTAGATACAATTTTTTGTTAAAATTATTTTTTTATCTTAAATAATGTATGTTTATATTATAAAATATAAAAATTAATTTTTAAATTTATAAAAAATAAATTTAAAAAACTATTAATATTTTAAAAATTATTTTTATTAAAGTCATTCTTAAAAATATAAAAATAAAAAATAAAAAAACCTTTTTTTCAAAAGTAAAACAAACATGCTCTTATCTAATTCTTTTGAGGAGAATAAAGCTTCATTGTTAACCGTGTATTGAATATTTAAATTTGATCACTCAAAATAATAATTAAAATAAATATTTCATAAACCCATTTGAATATTCTAAGTAATAAATAAAAAGGTTTTTTTATAACAAAAATGGAAATCCTGCTTTGTATAACCAAATCTGGAGCCAGAGACACAGATCACAGATCAAAATCAAAATCAAAGTCATGTTTAGAAAATTTAGTAAGAATAAATCTTGAAATAAAATGAAAACTTTAATTTCTTGTTTCCTAACCTATTGAGGTGTTAAAACTTAAATCAGTATACTATGAAGGCATAAAAAATGAAAAAAAAAAAACAAAATATAAAATTATATATGCAAGATAATAATATACATACATACATACATGTAATTAATCCAACTCCAAGAGTCTTAAAAATAAAAACCCTTATTACATAATAATCAAGATTTAATCAAAGCTTAAAGTAGTTAATGATCCATAACTTAATTATAAGCATAGACATGACGATGAGAAGAAACAGAACACAACTCACTCACTCAGAAACAGAAACATTAACAACAGATTTATGATTAGGAGGCATAGATTTGGTCCTTTTGATCCAGGATGGAGGAGTAGATGACGAAAATGTCCCTGAACGATGAAAGCGACATCTGAAAGATCCTTCGTGTGTGGTTGGAGAACATAGACACTGTTGTCCTTTGGGAGTTAGATCGCCGATTCCACTGTCGCTTTTGGGTGATGTTGAAACGGTGAGTTTAGTTTGAGATTGAGAAGCCATGGATGGATCAAGAAGGTGAAAAGGTGCAAAGTGGTCTGAAAAATGAGGACTAGAAACTTCGTTTATATAACAAAACAAATACACTAACCAAGACAAGACTACATTATTCGTTTATATATTTTTAATTAAATTTATTCTTTCTAAAAAAAAAAGTTAGGAAAAAATAAAACATACAAAATTGGTATCCTGTTATACAGTTAAAGAAGTTTTTCTAATCTATAAAAAAAGTTGTAAACAAGAAAAATGGTTTTGGTAAAGTTTTTAGGATTGATAGCTTGTTTGTCTGTTATGAAGCCGCATTGGATAGGATAGACGCTAAAAAAAGTTTTTTTTCTTTTCATTTTCATCTTTTTTTTCCAAAAAGATTCCAATGACATCTCGCTGACTCATATAGCAGTAAGTAGAAATTAAAACGGATGGAACTGGCCCAAATTTAACATCATCACAAAATAAGGAAAATAGAACATAAAAAAGATATTGGAATCTAAATTTTTAAATTCATCTCCTCTCTTCGAAAGGAAAATAGTTTGGTACTTGTTGTAGTTTACTTTAATTCTTACTTTGGTAAGAAATCTTCTATTATACCACTTATATTTTATCTCAAGCTTGCATAGTTTGTTATGTAGTTAGGGTAGTGTGAATAGTTAGCTAAGTTAGTTTTGCACACCTGAGCTTGTACTTTGTATATATATTGCAATTTCTCTATATTTTGTTAATCAATGAAATAGTGTATTTTATCATCTTCTTTCTTCTGATTTTAGTTTTCACTTTGATTCACATTGAGATACGACAAAGATCTTATTAATATGGTATCAAAGCTTAATAAGTTCTAGTAGCTATTGTTATCTTCTTTACGCGATCTTCTTTTTTTGTAAAAGCTTGAAGTGCAATTTGTTACTTCATCTCTATCTTTTTGTAGATTTTATTTGTTCTGTTTCTCTTCTTCAATGGCGTACCAGAGCTTCACTGATTTCTCTACCAACTCTGAAAATCCTTACTATCTATATTCGAACGAGAATCAAGCACCCGTTGTCGTTTCTCTACCGCTTGATGATAAAAATTATCACACATGGGCTTGATCAATGCAAATCGCGTTGATATTCGAGAACAAGGATAAGTTCATCACCGGAACCCTAGCAAAACCTCCCGTTTCAAATCCTCTTTATGCGATGTGGTTTCATTGTAACACTATGGTCCTCGCATGGATTCAATGTTCAATTTTTGAATCTATTGCAAAATTGGTGCCCTGGATTGATATGCAGCAGGTGTTTGGAAGAATTTGCAGATTTTGTTTTCTCACATTGACATTTTTTGCATTTCAGATATTTAAGAAGATCTATACAAATTTCGTCAAGGTACTCTCGGTGTCTCTAACTATTTTACTCAATTGAAGGTTATGTGGATGAATTAGAAAATTATCGTCCAATCCTTACATGTTCATATGTCATTCCTTGTTCTTGTGGGGCAATTAGATTGGTTCAAAAGTATAGATAGCAAGACTATGTGATACGTTTTCTTAAGGGATTGAATGAAAAATTCACACACTCTAAGTCTCATATTATGATGATGAATTTGTTACCTAATATTGACAAAGCTTTTTCTCTTGTTATTCAACAAGAAAGGGAGCTGAATAGCTCAGTCTCCAATATAATTCTTAAATTGGCAACAATGAGGAGGTTACAACCTTGCAGGTTCAAGCTTATCAAAGAAATCCCAATGGTAAACATGGGAATAACAATTTCAGAGGAACATCTCAAGGATCTAGTGGTCCTAAAGGTCATAATAGGGTTTACACTCACTGTGATAGAACAAACCATACCATTGAAACATGTTTCCTTAAGCATGGATTTTCACCAGGATACAAAGGAAAGGGAAAGGCTCAGGGTGCTGCAACTACTTCACAGATAATTGCAACTACAAATAGTGCATCAAAAGTTCCTTCCATAGGCTCAACTACAACCTCCTTTAGTTTTACTCAAGAGCGGTACGACAACATCCTAGAATTGCTTCAATTGTTAAGCTTAATTCTCAAGCCAACTCCATATCCACTTCTCCTTTTGTTATGAATTCATATTTTTCTAATGATAATGGTAAGAATCACTACTACAAACAATGCTTGTAACTTCAGACGTGAAATGTGTTTTATCTCGGTACTAGATGCGAGGTGAATAAGGTCGTCATAAAAAGTAAAGACTTATCACCTCAGTGTTTAAAACACCAAGGTAAAATTTTATCAGCGCATGAGTTCGAACCCCAACAGCAACAACTTTTATTATTTTCAAAACTAACATATCTTTTATCTCGGTTTATCAAAATAATCGAGGGGTATGATTATTTACTATTTTTTTCAAAAATTATTACATTGTTTGTACAGAATATTACGTTGTTTATCCAGAATATTACATTGTTTACCCTGAATATTAAAATTAAAATTAAAATCAAACTTCCTAGGTGTAGGTGTTTAGGTATTGGCTTGCATTTTTGGTAAATCCCAAGTGTATGTGTGAATGTCATGACTGATGTCATAACATTCTAGTTCAGTTTGTACTGACTCATTAGGTACCTTTGCAGAAAAATATTGTAATTCAAGTACTGATGTTTATAAGTGTGTATCTGAGCATTTTGCAAAATGATCACATTTTGCTAAATCAGTAGACAGGTTTTCTCAGATGTCATAACAGATGTTATGACATCCTGTTCTGAACTAACAGGTTTGCAGGATGGATAAGTCTGAGTTTTTTCAGGAAATAACTCAGTCTTTCCTGAACAGAATCCTGCGTTTTCTGAGGAGTAACCTAGCTCAACCCTAACCTGGTTAATAAAGTCCTGTGACCTGGTCTTTAGGTCAAACGGAATTAACCCTAGGTTTTTGTGGAAACCCTAACTGAAGTTGCAGCTGCTATATATTCAACAGAGCTGCTGTTTTTCAAGAAATCCTCTTTATTGATCAGAAGATCATTTGTAATCTGTATAGATTTGATTATTGTACTCCAAGCAATTATCATTGTGATAAGTGCCTTGGAATAGGTTTCTAATTGTAAGGGTTGTGTAGCACTCAAAGCTTTGAAGCAAGAGTGTTTGAATGTTCCTTGACTAAAGCTGTGAAGCAGAGTCAAGTTAGTTGTGTGCATCACTCAAAGATGTGAAGCACGAGTGATTGTGTTGCTTGATTAAAAAGTTGTGAAGCTTAATCAAGTGTTTGTTTTTGAAGAGTGTCTTCATCAATTCTTAAGTCAAATTGGTTTATGTATCACTACTGTGATTGAGGGGGAGTGAGTAGGAACTCAGGTTTAAGTTGTACTTAGATTGGAATTGCATTGGGTAGGTCTTAAGTGAAGGAGATAAACTGGTTGGTTTATTCCTGAATTAACATCTCTTATAGTGGATTTCCTCCCTGGCTTGGTAGCCCCCAGAGTAGGTGTTGTTGCACACTGAACTGGGTAAACAATTGACTGTGTTCTTTATTGCTTTTGTATTTACTGTCATATAGTAAGTCAGATACAGTGTCATAACATTGAACGTGACATTGAGTATCTGCAGCCAGAATTTCAATTGGCATCAGAGCAGGCACCCTGCCTGTATTACTGGGTGAGATCTAGGGATATCACTTTCTGGCACTATGGACAAAGAAGGAGTTTTTGGAAATAGACCACCCATTCTGGATGGAACTAATTATGACTACTGGAAACCTCATATGATTGCCTTCCTAAAATCTCTGGACAAAAAGGCTTGGAGAGCTGCTGACAAAGGATGGATTCATCCCACCATAACTGAGATAGATGGGACAATCAGTCTGAAGCCTGAGGAAGATTGGAGTAAAGAAGAAGATGAGTTAGCTCTGGGAAATTCAAAAGCTTTAAATGCCTTGTTCAATGGAATTGATAGAAACATTTTCAGACTAGTACATCAATATGAACTGGCCAAGGAAGTTTGGGACACTCTCAAAACTACTCATGAGGGCACTTCCAAAGTAAAAATGTCAAGGCTTCAGATGTTGACTACCAAATTTGAGAATCTAAAAATGATGGAAGATGAAACCATTCATGAGTTTCACATGAACATCTTGGAGATTGCCAACACCTCAGGAGCACTGGGAGAAAAGATGTCAGAAGAAAAACTGGTGAGGAAGATTCTCAGATCCTTGCCTAAAAGATTTGCAATGAAGGTAACTGCCATAGAGGAAGCCCAGGATATTAGCAAGTTGAAAGTGGATGAACTTATTGGGTCTCTTCAGACTTTTGAGATGGGGATCACTGATAATGGTGACAAGAAGAACAAAAGCATAGCACTTGTATCCAACACTGATGTTGAATACAAGGAGGATGAAGAAGAAAACATATCAGAAGCTATTGCCATGCTTGGAAGACAGTTCAACAAGCTCATCAAAAGAATGGATCCAAAGTCAAGGTCTAATGTTCATAACATTCCCTCTGACATTGACAGTTCCAGCAGAAGACCAAGGTCAGAAGATAAGGGAAACCAAGGCAGAGGTATTCAATGCCATGGATGTGAAGGATATGGACATATTCGAGCTGAATGTCCTACCTTTCTTAAGAAACAAAAGAAAGGAATGACTGTTACTTGGTCTGACTATGATTCAGAAAGTAATTCTGAAGAAGAATCTGCCAAACTAGTTACTGCCCTAACTAGTGTTTGTACTTCTGAAAGTGACACTAGTGATGAAGAAGTGACATTTGAAGAACTGGCTGATACCTACAAGAAATTATGTATCAGAAGTGCTGAAGTCTGTGTGCAGAATGAGAAACAATCAAAACTCATTATAAAACTGGAGGCTGAAAAAAGGGCAAATCTTGAAACTATAAGTCATCTAGAAGGATAAGTTCAATTGCTGAACTCACAACTGAATCAAATGACCAAATCTGTCAAGATGTTAACAAATGGAACAGACAAATTGGAAGAGATCCTTCAGGTTGGACAAAATGTGGGAAATAAATCTGGACTAGGATTTATGGAAGCAAAGAAATCTGGTACTGGTAAGC